CCAGATCAGTGGCGGGTTGGATTCCTCCCGTCACTGCCCTGCGTATTGTGGGTCATTGACCCCCAAACGCTAGTCTGTTCGGAAGGCCCACTGCCAAACCGACCGGGGATTTTGATTTTTTATTATTATTTTTTCTAGGGAGTCGACTCCCAAACCAATCAAAGGTTTTGGGGGTTCGACTCCCTTTTTTCGGGGAATCCGGGGCTTGGGAGTTGGCTCTCCACTTTTTGGGAGTCGTTTAACCAAGCCCCTTAAAGTATTGCATTTTTCTAGCTTGCCGACCCTCACCCACAGTACACTTCAATTTTTACACTTCAATTTTTTGGTCAAATACTCTACACCACGGGTGCAGAAAAACGTTTTGAAGCGGTTAGATTAACAGCTTCAAAACTTTTTCAATTGAATGTCAGGGGACGTCGCCCTGGAAGTCAGCGCAGAAAGTTTTTTTGAAACGTTTCAAGAAACGTTTTGATTTCCGTTTAAAATACCGATCAATTACTTTCTGCAAACGAATGCATTTGCTAAAACGTTTATGAAGCGGTTAATCTAACCAAACCAGAACCAACGTGTGACCACGACGTTCCTTGGAACAGTTGTGAGGGGGAGCCTACTACGTCACAAACTCATACGGCTATGAAGTTATCCAAGAGGATAACTCGCCAAAGATGACGCAATAAACTAAGTATTTTGTGTTATAGAAACTTTATAAGTTTAAACAGAGATTTTGAATTTATCTTTAAAGTTAAGATTTCTTAGTATTTTAATTCTGAGGAGAATATAAATAACAAGGAATATCGAGATAAGGAAAAGAAAGAAAGGGAACAAAGATCACCGGAATGAAAGATCATAAGGAAAATCCATGATCGACAAAAGTATTAATGAAAACAGGAACTGATTGTCATCGGAATGATGTCATTTAAGAGGAATGATGTCATGAAGACTTCCTTGATCGAAAATCATAGGAAACATAGCATGACATCATAGTGAACTACACATAAATGCATAGCATTCATCATGTAAAACCCATAATATCTGCTAAACCCATGATTTATCACAAAACAGACCTGCCTATTACCCCAAATTGTCATCAATTTCTTCCAGTTGTTTTTTATTCTTTTTATAATACTTAGCATGGGCCACCTTGAAAGCATTTAAATAAACCCCTAAAGAAGTTGGCAAATGTTCTTCAGCTACCCATGTGTTATTAGCCACCGTAGAATCATTCCAGGAGAGTAAATATTCATCTTTACCTTTCTTTACTGACCTTACATCCAATATCTGTTTCAACTTTTTCCAATCAACAATTTCTCCCTCTTCATAATACCGCTCCTTTATTCCATCATCAATTTTCCTGTCAATCAAAGAATTAGTTCCAACATAAGCTACAACCAACCCCACATTGAAAACCGGATGGAGTTTAGGATATTCTTGAGCAATATCTAATCTTACCGCATTCTTACCAACCATCTCTTCCACCACAAACAGGCCGATGTATCTATAGTCTAATTTTTTATTTATTCGCCGAGATTGAATAAACTTCCGCAACAGAAGAACCTTCTGCCCTTTTTTGTAAACAGGGGAGTCGCGCTTGCCCAAGTTGTAATACTTAGCCTGACGAACTCTTGCTTGATTTAACCAAGCCATCGCCGTCTCTTGAGTAACTTGTAAATCCACCACAAAATCATCTAGATCCCGGCGCCCAAATGAATCAGTCATGATGTTAAATTTTGGATGATGACCATAAGTAAAAAAAATGGAGAAACTTTCAGACTCGGCGAATCCATATTATTAATAGAAAATTCTGCTAAATCCAAACACTTATCCCAATTGTCCTGATAATAGGAACAGAAATGTCGCAGATAATCCTCCAACACTTGATTCATCCGCTCAGTCTGTCCATCTGTTTGAGGATGATAAGCCGTTGACGGAGCTGATTTTATGTTCAACGCAATCATTAGTGACTTCCAAAAATTACTTACAAAGGTCGTGCCTCTATCCAAAATAATCTTATCAGGCAATCCATGAAGCCTAAAGATGTTCTTACAAAATAAATTTGCCAAAACCATAGAGGAAGATGCCTCATTACAAGGAATAAAGTGTGTCAACTTGCTTAACAAATCAATAACAACCAAAATGGAATCAAAACAAGCAGAAAGTGGTAACTTTACAATCATGTCCATACCAATAACACTCCACGGATGAGGAGACACCACTATCGGAAT